TATATATATATCACAAAAGGGTTGATTTTGCATACCCCTCCATAAATACATAAATAAATAAACAAACAAATAAATTCAAAGTTAGCATGTGTTTTTTTAGAATTTCGCTGTTCTTCTGATTTGAACGTGCTATGTCTCCGTTTCACCTGTGAGGCGCTGTTGGATTTTGACGAACCTCAAACCGGAAGTGAAGTGTGTCAACAAAACGCAACGCACATGTGTAGGCAGAAGAAGAAGCATGTGTAGCATTAGTGGTCTATTCATTCTTTTACCAATATAGATGCGAAATTACAACGGAAATAAATGAGCTCAGAATAAAAACGTTTTAGCAAAATGAAGTTCGCTTACAAGGTAAGATAATGGCGCAGTTATTGACGCCCGTCGCTTTGCCTATCAAACCATATTGCGTTAAGAAAGTGCCGCATTTTGTGTCCGTGTTTGATTGAAGTGTTCTTATAAAGGTTGAACACAGTTAAAATTATATTTAAACAGCATATTACCCTTGTGCGATTTGTTCGGCTTTTTTCTTTTTTTACATTATAAATCATCTGTTATTTTGAAATTTTGTGCACATTTTTGTTAGCATCTGATCTTGCGTGGCTAGACACCTAAAAAATAAAATTTGTGTCTTTCAAACTGAAACTATTGTCCTTTTTCCCCTCATTTTCTTCAGTTTTCTAATTTGCTCGGAGCAGTTTATCGTCAGGGAAACCTGAATTTCTCCAAAGATGGCAACGCGGTGATCAGTCCAGTTGGAAACAGAATCTCAATCTTTGATTTGAAGAAGTAAGTCTGACAAATAACGATGACGTCACTAAACTGTATTAAAAGTGTAAGAAGTACCAAAATCTGATGATTGTTAAAGCCTCCAAAAACACATACAGATAAAATTATGAACAGTAAAAGAAGTGCCTTACATTCCTCTAAAAGTGTTTTGTCTTTCTGTAATGTTCAAGATCCTAAATAAGCCTTCTTTAAAACCTCTTTTTATCACTCAGCAATACATCTGAGACATTACCTATATCTACCACAAAGAATATAACGTGTGTGGGTCTCTCTCCTGACGGGAACTTGGCGATCGTGGTGGACGAAGGTAAAAAAAACCATCTGAAATGAATGTGTGTGTGAATGTTTTAAGACGACTACCTGAATGTTTATGTTTGTGTCAGAAAGATGGAGCAGCGCTGCTGGTCAGTCTCATCACTCGAGCCGTCCTTCATCACTTTCACTTTCACAAACCCGTCAGCAGCATCCGCTTCTCACATGACGGCAGGTAGCCAGATTCTGCACTCCCTGTTCCAAGAAAAGTCAGGACGGTGTTGTGTAAAATAGTCATCTGAACAGAACGCAGTGGTTGGTGACTCTTATAAATGCAGGTTTTGGATCTTTCAGCTTGTTTTGGTTTCGTTTCAAAGCCTGCCTCTCTAGTAGTTTTGGGGTGTAGTAATGGCTCAGACGTGGGTTGCTTACAGCTGGAAAAATGCTCCAGTCTGAACAACATTTTCAGGCAAAGTCTTGCTTATTTCAGCAAGAACACATGCTGCATTCATTTAGTGCTGTACCAAACGATTATTTTCTAATCGATTAATCTAATGATTATTTTTTCGATTAATCAATTATTCTAACAACAAATCTATAAGTTATTCTGATGTGAGTGCACTGGATATTCTCTGTTTAATGCTGGATGAAATAAAGGAAGTGGCGGTACTTTATTTACTTTGAGCAAGTGAACGTCATGTTCACAAGACAATTAATCCAGCCGAAAATTCAGAGGTGGTCTGTTCGGTGAGTTTTACTCCAGGAGCTGCGAGGCTTGTTTTCAAGCTTCAGACCAGTGTTGCCAGATGGGAAATGTTGAGTTATCGTA